GAGTCTTTTTCTTTTGTTTTTAGATTAAACAAAGTTCTTTTTGGTTTTGCAATAATTATCAATGCAGACTTTCTTAGACCCAAAGTTTAATAAAAAACTATTTTATTCGAATCCTAATACCCAGTATAAACATTTTATAAATACTTTTGCATACTACAGGATGGTTTCTGATATAAATCCATCACTATTAAAATCAAGATTATTAGAAGAGAAAAATAAAAGATAGTGTAAAATTAAAAAAATGAACATAATAGTATTCAAGGGGAAATTAGAAGCCTTCTATCAACTCCAATTCCATTGCAAGCATTATTTGGCTTTCGAAAAAACCTAAGCAAACTTTCAACTACATCAAATAAATCAGTATCTATCTCTCGTTTTTTTACTTTTTCTACATTTTATGAATATAAAATACCTCCTAATGCTGCAGCCCAAAAAGCAGCGAATGAAAAAATTAAAAATTCAAAGCTAAAATTATTGAATTTGATTTTTTATTTAATCTAGCTACAGATATAAGTATTTGAAATAATCTTTCTATTCAGATACAAGAATATAAAGAAATTATTAATGAATGTTCAAAGAGAATTGATACTCTTAAATAACGTGCAAACAATCAAGCTTGATTGGAGGCAAAAAAAAAAAGCAACTTCAAGAAGAAAGTATTATTGAGCAATGGGATGGCTCTGAAAAACTATTAATACTTGCCCAAAATCCAGACTTTCTTGAAAATATTCATGACTATGTTGAATTTGGTAAAGCTGATCACAAGCATAGAAAATCTGTAATAAAAGTTAGAACTATTACTCATTTAAAAAAGGAACTAGAAGAAAAATATAAACTTTATATAAGCAGACAAACTTTATCTACTTATATTTGGCCAAAACACCCTAATACATTTTTAGCAAAACAACATCACTACCCTGCAATAGTTCAAAGTATCAAGAAGTAAAAAATCTAACTATCCTGATAGTCACTATTGCCTTGCTTCAGTAAAAGGTGCTCGAACTTTTGCTTCATCATTTTCTAATTATTCTATAATAATCTCTCAAGATGACAAAGCAAAAGTTCCTTTGAAAATTCCTGCAGTTGGTCAAACTTTTAAATCAATTGAAACAGTTAATGAGCCCGTTTCTCTATCTGACCATGAATTTCTTTAGGAAATAAAATGAAATTAATCCCATCTGTGTATCTTTTAATAAACCCAAAAGATACAAATGATAATTTTCGCTCAGAATATCTTTCAATTTATATTTAGTCTGAATTCTTTGTAGGAACAACTGCAGCAACTTATATAAGTAATTTGATCTCAATTGTGAATTCTAAAGAGTATGATAAATTTATTAATATAGAAGGAAAAGTTAAACTATTATAGATTTTGATAGTAGATGGTGGACCAGATAAAAATTCTAAATTTTTAAAAAATATTATAGAATATTGTAAGTTTTTTTGTTTCTTGGATCTTGATTACCTTTCAATTTATACCCATGCACTAGGGCAATCTTCTTTCAATCCTGTTAAAAGAAGTATGGCTTCTCTTTCATTTAAGTTAGCTGGTATTGTGTTATCTATAGACCATTTTGGTACTCACCTCAACTCCCAAAGAAAAGTAATTAATGAAGAACTAGCAATAAAAAACTTTCGATTTTTAGGAGAAAAACTTGCTGATATTTGGCGGCGAGACAAAATTTATGAAAAACCTTTTAGAGTTGAATATTTAGATACACATATTAACATGTTTGCAAATTTGGATATTTCATAGCAATAGATTGAAGAACATTGCCAAATTTGTCACTATTCACTTGATATCTGAAAATGTTATAATCCAAATTGCTGCAAGCCTTCCCAAGTACCAGAGGAAACTATTTTGTTACAAGAATATAATAGTTTTTTACCTCTTGTTATTCAATGACGTGACTGACATTTTTTGAACCCTATTCATATTCTTGAGTACTCTAACAAACTTAAAATTCCTCCTTATAACAAGCACTGTCTGTCAATATCAGCTAAAATGCATTAGCGTTTATGTTGCTCAGAATATGGAAAGTACTTTCCAACTTTAAAATTTATTCAAAAGTATAAACTTGAACATTCAAATAATCATAAATACCAAGGTTCTAATTCCAACCTTTCACTTTCTAATTCTGCAATGTATAAAGATTTTGTTTACTTACAAGAATTGTGTGAAGAAATTGAGTTTAAACGAAGCTTTTCTGATAGTGAGACTCTTAAATAATAAAGTATGATCTTTTGTATCATACAAATAAATTTTTTTTTTAAAAGAATTAAAAATAAGTATTAAACGTAGTTTTATAAAATATATAGTTATTCTGAAAATTTTATTATTATATAATCAAATATATATATTAAAATAGATTTAAAAAAATTGTATTAAATATTAACCTGGAAGATACTTTTAAAATCAATATTCATTGGTAATGACCATTTTTAAAAACCATATTATATTGATTATAACTTACAGGTTTTCCATATAAAACTTTCCACATAATTATTCTAAATAAATAAATAACTGATGCTGTTGTATATTGTTCACCATCCAAAGCTTCTGGTGCTATATATAGTAAAATTTGTAAACTCTATGTCTTTTCACATTTAATTCTCTATTAGCTATTATTGAAAGTCCCAAGTGTAAATTATCTTGCAAAATATTACTAGTATACAAATCTGTTGGATAAGTCCTTGAGAATGAATCATTTGAAGATCAGATGCAATACAATATAATAAAGTTAATTTATTCTTTCATTTCGTTCCTGATACAAGATAAAGATTTTGACATAAGGAACTCATTGCTGCATATTTTAAGACAAAGATATAATTTTCTGAAGATTCATCTTTTGATATTCCAAAACACTTTAGAAACAAAAGATGCTTATAACTAATATTACAATATGCCTTTAACTTTAATATTAAAGCAAATACATAATTAGTAAGTGTTATTTTAAAAAAAATTATGTTATAAAAATAGAAAATACTCTCTTATAATTTCTTTATTACAAGACTTTGATCTATGGAGAAATTTAAGTGCAACATTTTTCACATATTTTGTCTTTTATCATATCAAATAGAATGAAACACTGTTGCAAACCCACCTTGTTCTATTTTTACCAGTATGAAGTTCTTTAAAAGGAATCCATGATAGTGGATACTGTTCTTAACCAATAATTTTTGTATATCATTATCCATATTAAAATTTCATTTGCCCCCATTTATTTGTAGCTAAAAAAAAAGAATAATTAGCAAATTAACTCTATTTATCAAATATAAATGTGATAATTATTGTTTTATTTTATATTGCCCAGGATTCTATTTTTTTCCTGGTTATTAAAAAATGTATTGTAAAAAGACTAAATTACAATAATAATAATAATAATAATAATTAAATGAGTAATTATTTATATTTGATATCAATAATTGGCTTTTTGCAAGTCCCTTGATGTTCCAATCCCATTTCGATAACAATAACCAACTTGAGAAATTCTAGCAATATTTTCTATCTCGGCAGACTTTTGATAATAAATAAATGCCTTATGTTCATCCTTTTCAATCCCTATCTCTTAATGATATCAAAATATATAGTTATATATATCAATATTACAATATATGTATATATAGACCTGATCAGACGCTAACTCCTCACCCCCTAACAAATTAGCTGATTTCTGTCTATCTCCTTAATTATAATATCTTCGCTCGTAAAAAACATGTGTAGTTCTTTATATTTAACTTTAAAAATTTTATCATCTTTGTGAGGATTCAAGCTTACTTGTCAATCTCACTAGATAATTTGCTCATGAAATTGAAATCTTCGCTGGATTCTATCTTTCAGAAGCAAAACTGGTATGTACTATCATCGGTATATGAAATTTCAATTTCATTTGCTAAAAACCAAATGTATTTAATATAGTTGTTCACATTGAACAATCTTGCCAAATATAATGAGTGTATTAAGTTGTTGTTAATGAATTCTAAAAATAAAATAAATTAAATAAAAATTAATTAATAAAATTAGTATAAATTAATATTAATAAAAAATTAAATAGAAGTAAATACAGAATACAAGACTCGAGGTTTGTGGCAAAAAAAGTAGAAATAATTAATTGATTAATTAATTAGAAATAAATAAATAAACAATTAATTAATTAATTAGAAATAAATATATAAATAATAATTAATAAATTAATAAAAAATTAAATAAAAATAAATTAAACAGAACTCAAGACTCAAATAATATATAAAGAAAAAAAAATAGAATTAGAATTAATTAAATAGATTAAAAATTAATTAAAATTAAAAATAGATTAATAAAAAATTAAATATAAATAATTAAAGAGGACTCGAGGCTTAAGAAATATATAACTATCTAAAAAAAAAAATAGAAATAAAAATAATTAAATAAATAAATTAAAATTAATTAAATTTTTTTTTTTTTTGCAAACAAGCAGTCATACCACAACTTTATTACTTAAACGTAGATATTATAAACTTTAACATTTGAATTTACTACTACAGCTATGCTGTTTTATACTAAAGTGCGATTCACACAGTTTCCAATTGGACCTATGTGCGACATGCCAGTGCAGAAGCAACCTCCTTGCTTATCTAAATCTGCCTCAGATTTAGAGTTCACAATTCATTGGCCAGGATCTACTAGCCCATCATGACTACCCATTCCTTCTTGTAAACTTTTCTCATCTAGATTCGAGCAGAATAGTTTTTCTATAAAGGAATACCATATACCAAATTTACCAAAGAAAAACAAAATTTAGTAAAGAAAGAGACAAAAAGAAAAGAAAAAAAAAAAAGAAAACATATTAAGAACAGTATGTCTTAAATCTGATTCTATTGTAAAGGGATGAAGATGGAAAAAGTACAAAAAGGAACAAGGTATCATGACATACATTTAGAAAATGAAAATGAAAGGGTGCACTGTTATAACCTGTGCAAGGCTGAAAAAATTATATACTATATGCAATGTTTGTATATCTCTATTGTAAAGCTTCGCCTTAACTTTGGGTTTTTCTTTCTGACTATTCGATGTACTCCAGATAGTTTTGCTCTAGCCCGTCCTAATCTGTATCTCAAGCCAGGTGCTGCTGCCGTCCATAGACCTGTATCTCAAGCCATTTGCTACTGCCATTAGGAGTACCTTCTTCCTTATTAGGAGTTTTTTATCCAGGGCCCGATCCTGTATAGAGGTGCCGTATTTATAAAACACGTGGTTGCAGTCTAATAGACTATCCGAATTTGGAATATAAACAATGCCGATCTTTTGGAGAGGGTAAGCCAAATCCTCACTTTATTTAAAAATTTTGGAAAACTGGCAGGAGAATGGAAGTGAGTAAGAAAGGAGTCACTTGTTCAAATAAAAGAGTGTGGTTTGAGAATAGCAAGTTTTTTACTTTTCCCTAGTTATTTTGCAACAGGTTGCTTCATCGACAGAAAAACACTATAATCCCCACCAAAATTTTATATACAAGGGCACACTTCCCCAGCCAGTTATCTTGTATAAAGATGCTTTCGGCTTGCATGTCGAATATATAAAGGAGTCCCCACAAGTAAACGAAAGGTTGACCTTTATAAAAACCGCACTGTTGTTTACCTACTACAGGTCTTTTCTACTTTTCTAGTGTCCAAACTTGACTTTTCTTTTGTAAGAAATTTTAGTTCAAGTGATTGTAGGGAAGAGTTTGATAATTAATTAAAATTAAAAATAAATTAATAAAAAATTAAATAAAAATAAATTAAAGAGAACTTGAGGCTCGAGGAATATATAAAATAATTAAGTAACTAAAATAAAAAGTAATTAGAAATAAATTATTAATTAAAAAAAAATTAAATAAATAAATTAAAGAGAACTCGAGGCTCGAGGAATATATATATATGTAAAAAAATAGAAATAAATATAATTAAATAAATTATTAATTAAAAAGTAATTAGAAATAAATTAATAAAATGGGCAATGTTAACGCTCACCAGAGGTGAAATTCACCGAGAGTGCTGTATCTCAAAAACGTACTAAGTAAACGGGATCAGGTACTCTAAGTAAAAATGTTCAGAACCCCTGAAAATCTTACAAAAACTGAGATCAAGACTTTTATTAGCTCTATATTATTTTATATAAAAAAAAATTATTAATACCCTAATCCTAACCTAACCCTAACAATTCTTAGGCCGGTAAATTTCACTCCTAGTGATTTTAAAATTAATTCTAATAAAATAAAAATAATTAAATAAATAAAAATAATTAATTAAATAAAAATAAATAAATAAATAAATAATAAAAAATGTCATAGAAATAAATTATTAATTAAAAAAAATCAAATAAATAAATTAAAGAGAACTCAAGGCTCAAGGAATACGCATATAAAAAAAAAAAAATAAAAATAAATAAATAAATAAATAATAAAAAATATTATAGAAATAAATTATTAATTAAAAAAAAAATCAAATAAATAAATTAAAGAGAACTCAAGGCTTGAGGAATATGCATATTAAAAAAAAAAATAAATAAAAATAAATAAATAAATAAATAATAAAAAATATTATAGAAATAAATTATTAATTAAAAAAAATTAAATAAATAAATTAAAGAAAACTCGAGGCTCAAGAAATATACATATTAAAAAAAAAAGAAATAAAAATAATTAAATAAAAAAATAATAAAAAATGTTATAGAAATAAATTATTAATTAAAAAAATTTTAAAAAAAAGAAATAATAAATACCAAATTTGAATTCATTATAATTCACAAATTGCAAGACTTGTGGTCTCTTATAATTAAATAATAAAATTAACCAATTATCCATTTTAATTCTATTGCTTAGTAAATCTATCTAAAAGGTTATAAAAGAAAGCAGGTGCTATTTATATAACTTTCAAGTTCTAATTAAGCTTTAGTCTTGAAAGTTAAACATTAACATATCGAACAAAGTTATCTAACATGTAAGTATATAAAATAATATTATTTAACAATAATTATTCATGTTCTAATTAAGCTTTAAACTTAAAAGTTAAATAATTAAGCTATCAAACATATAGAACAAAGTTATCTAATATATAAGTATATAAAATGACATAATTATAATTTAAACATGTATATATAAGCATATAGAGTTTACAAAATTTTAGAGAGTTAAATTATTACGATACAAAATGTTAACATTAAGTATATAAAATATAATGCCTAATGAATGATGAAAGTTTTCGTCACTGAAA